GCGGCGGCCAGTCGGCGAGCAAGGAGAAGGCGGTCCGCCGGTTTCGCGCGGCCCCGGGGCGGGGCTTGCTGCAAAACGGGGCGGGGCCAGCGCCCCCCGCCCAGCGGCCGCACCGAGATACGGCGCCCCCGGGGTCCCGGCGGGGGCGGGGGGTTCTCGGTGGTCGGTCCTTCCTTCTGCCCCGGTGGTTTGTCCTTCCTTCTGCCCGGGGGCATCCCCTCGAGGCGGTCGAGTGGTAACGACCTTTCCAATCTCCGGTGGAACGTGATGAGCAAGGGCATAAATAACACGAGAGAATTATGAAAGGTAATAGGGGAGGTAGCAAGGGAGAATATAGTAAAGTATAATATGGGAGCAACTGGGGAGATCTTGGCAAGAGCCTGTCTGGACAACTGAATTACTCCAACCAAAGATGGGACTGTCCTTACCACCTGCCTACATTTGTGCTTTTCCTAGATTAGATAGATGTACCTGTCGTTTAGACAGATTGGAAAAGGAAAGTGTAATATGAACGGTAAGATGCAAAAGTGAAGATGACCTAGTGAAGGGTTTCCTTGCCTCCTAACAATCTTGGAAAGGCACAGAGTCATTCCAAGTGCAGAAAGGTAAAAGTTCAGGTAAGGCTTGCTATTACCCTGCACCTGGCCTAAATGAACCAAGGCCTTAAAAGATGGCAACTGCTAAAGCTGCTTCTGTTCATGAGTAACTGAATAGCTCTGATACATATAGCCGTTAACCGTGTGTGGATATAATAATTTGGTAATTAATTTTGGCTTATGGGCACTCTTAAAAGAAGTGTAAAAATGGTGGTTGGCCCTAGGCTGTAGTAAAAATATTTGTTACCCACATTACTAGTTACTGGTACTGGTACTGAGGGAGGAGGCTCACCAGTCGGTCAAATTTGTTGGGCAGTGTGGTCCTCAGAGCCACAAACATTAGGAAATGTGGTAAGATTTGCTGAGGGCACGAGGCTAGGAGATGGAGTCAGGACAGAGAAGGAAAATGGAACAGCGTGATGACCCTGAGGATCGCAGAAACAAAACCAAGATGAAATTCGATAACTGGGAGCGCATAAGCTGGAAACGGGTGAGAAGGAGCGGGGCATACTAGCTGGTCACGGGAGGTCCGGGAGCTGCCGTGGGAGAGAACGACATAATTTGGGAACTGGTTGGTGGTGCCTGGGAGGGTGAGGTAAGTGCTGGGACCTTGCGCAAGGCTGCGGTGAGCGTTGTCCCACGTGGAGTGCCGGGTACCTCTCCCGTCACCCACCGACCCTGAGCTGAAACGACAACAGTGGGTCTCTGGGGGGGCCGCTCGGATGGTCAGAGAAACACAGAGTCTCTGGGCGTCCGAATTTGGCCTAAGTAACCTACAGAAAAGACTGAGGAATGACATGGTTTGCAAGCACGCTTCAGGCTGGGGTTAATGCACAAGGGGGAGGAAAATAGTTATGGAGAGTGGCTGTAAGGGCCTGAGGGCATCCATGCCCGTGGGAGCTGCTTTTGGCTGGGCTGCCAGCGCTTGGCCCCACCAGAGCTACGGCTCGGCCGTGCTGAGCTGGGGATTCACAGGCTGCCTGGCTCCTGGCTGGGGCAGTGGGATGGGTCCTGGCTGCCAGGTCCTGCCCTGACAGACCCCCACGGGAATCGCCCACCGCTCCCAGCACCTCCAGACCCTGGAGAGCCCCTGGCAGCACGACACCGGGCACTGCTCTGTGCTGCTGGAAGAGTAGATGGCCAAATCTACCGCCCAGGGACAAATGGAGCTTAGAAACTGGAATAAAGTTTCTGTCCACACTTGTATTAGGAAAATCCTTGCCCGGGAGCAATAGGAAAGAAAAAGATTTTACAAGAAGGAAAAGAAACTGCTTCTAAAAAGCAGTTTGTTGCATTTATGAAAGGTATTATGTGACTGTTGTGGTTTAACCCCAGCCAGCAACTAAGCCCCACGCAGCTGCTCACTCACTGCCCCCCCCGCCCCAGTGGGATGGGGGAGAAAATCGGGAAAAGAAGTAAAACTTGTGGGCTGCGATAAGAATGGTTTAATAGAACAGAAAAGAAGAAACTAATAATGATATTGATAACACTAATAAAATGACAACAGTAATAATGAAAGGACTGGAATGTACATATGATGCACAGTGCAATTGCCCCCCCCCCGCCGATCGACACCCAGTTAGTCCCCAAGCGGCGATCCCCCCACCCCCACTCCCCCATTTTATATACTGGGCATGACGTCCCATGGTATGGAATACCCCGTTGGCCACTTTGGGCCAGCTGCCCTGGCTGTGTCCCATCCCAGCTTCTTGTGTCCCTCCAGCTTTCTCGCTGGCTGGGCATGAGAAGCTGAAAAATCCTTGACTTTAGTCTAAACACTACTGAGCAACAACTGAAAACATCAGTGTTATCAACATTATTCTCATACTGAACTCAAAACATAGCAGTGTACCAGCTACTAGGAAGACAATT